CAAGGACTTTCTTAGAAGAAAATACATTACATTAAATAATGTCTAGCATGGTATCATTAATTACAAATGAGAGTCTCCACTGAATTTATAAACTACCTGTGTAGTAGTAGTAGTAGTAGTAGTAGTAGTAGTAGTAGTAGTAGTAATAATAATAATAATAATTGTAATCATAAGAATACCAGCTACCATTTGTCCTGTGCTTATTTGAGGCCAGGCACTGTCTAAATGAATTACTGCATTTAATCCTCTCACAAGAATAAGGTGAGAGCTTTGTCTCTTTTATTTGCTGCAATCTTTCTGATACATTTCGATGTACCAGCCAATAAGAGCTGCTCAATAAATATTTGTCAAGTGAATGGTTAGTGAAGTATATATTGGGTTGTCGGAAAAGTCATGACGTATTTTTTCTATGTTTTTCATTGCAAAAATGCGTCATGACTTTTTCAACAATCCAATATAATTCTTTTGCCATTTCAGCAATGAGGAATGAACCTGAGAGTGATTAAAGCCCTTGCCCAAGAATAGACTTACAGTACTGGAGCTGGTGGAACTCAAGCCCATGTGGGGTGATCATTGTCATCTTTACAGTGGGGACATGCTAATCTAATTGCAGCCAGACATGTGTAGTAATGCAATATTAATTACTATTGCTTTCGGTCAGGTTGGCATTTAGGACCAGATAGTAACTGTGTTAGACTTTGCAGGCCAGATGCTGTCTGTCACAGCTACACAACTCTGCCATTGTAGCATGAAAGCATCCATAGGCGTACATTAACGAATAAGTGTGGCTGTGTTCCAGTAAAACTTTATTTGCAGAAACAGGTGGCAGATGGGATCTGGCCTATGGTAGTATAATTTCTCTAATTTGCTCACCCTGCAAAGAAAAAAAAAAAAAAAGGCGGTCTCTTGTTCCAGGTGCCACGCTAATCACATGTGCAGATATGTGCCCTGAAATGGCATGGCAGTACTTTTATTTGGTAGTACTTCTAGTCATCCAGACAATCAAGAGAATGATCATATTACTTTTTTACTTTTTCAAAATTGGGAAGTAAATACAAAATTTTAAAAAATGTCATGAAGAGGGCTGGCCGAGTGGCTCATTGGTTAAAAGTTTGCTTGGGATGCCAGCTCTGAGTATCAGGGCCACCGGTTCAGATCCCACATGGGCCAGTAATGCTGCGCCCTCTACAGCTAAGATGGTGAACAACATCTCGACCTGGAGCTGGGCTGCTTTGAGTTGCCGGTGATGGCGTAGGCTGCAGTGGGCTGCTGTGAGCTGCCATGAATGGCTGGCAGCCAGCGTGAGCAACCAGCAGCCAGCATGAGCTGCCGTGATCTGCCGTGAGTGGCCATCCAAGGGCCAGCGACCGATCTGCCTCAGCTGAGAAGAGCGCAATGATCACAATACCAACATGGGCCAGTGAAGGGATGTCCTCCACAACTAAACTGAAGAACAAAAGGACAGCAACTTGTCTGTTCCCCTTCCCCGACTCCCCAATAAAATCTTAAAAAAAAAAATTATCATGAAGAATTTAGGAATCTCTAGGAATTCTTAGACCCTACTTTGAGAAAAAGAGGTGTAAAGAAATAGCGAAAGTAGAAAAAGGAAGTAATAAATGAGATATATTATAAAGGGCATTATGATATTCTCTATCTTAATCTGTGTTTAGCATTTTAAATTTGTATTATGTAGTGAGAAACTAAGATTGGTGAGAGGAAGTAACTTTTTGAATATCTTTATTTCTTTGTAATTATAGGAAACTGGTACCAACACCTGTTTTTTCTCTAGGACCTAAATTTCATTAGTTTTTTGCTGCTTCTGGTTGTTTTTTCTTTGGCTTACTCTCTTTCTGTTTAAAATTCTTTCCTCTTGGTGCAAATTGTTAAGTAACCAACATATGTGTTGAAGCTTAACATTTCAATGATCTAGGAAAGGGCCAGTCTTAATATCAAAATATTAATTGCAGGATATTAAGGAATATGTTTACATTTTAAATTTTCTTTAGGACATATGTATAGCTAAACTTTCTCCAGTTACCTTGCTTTAATGGATATGTAGTTTGTGTAGTCATCATTTAATTTGTGATTCTAACGTATCTGAGAATGATTTACGACAGTTTAATCTGCTTCGGGAAGTTATTTGGCTTATGCTATTTGTCTAGATATATTTTCTTCATAGAATAAGGCACAGTTCAGCTAAAATTGTCATAAATTTTGCATCAATAGGGTCCATGCCATGGGCTATTCGTGTTTTAGCTATTTTGGCCTAGATATTTGAAAATATGCATCTATTATAAAAGCAACAATTATGTAAGAAGTTTAATGAAAGGGTTGAGATTCACTCTCCCACTTCTGAGTTGTGTGCTCTTTTCTAGGCATCGATTTCCTAATCTATAAAGTGGGGATAATAATACTCCCTAGCGTTGTTGCGAGTATTTAATGAACCAATGCATGGAAAGAGTTTTAACAAAGTGACTTGGCATAGCCTAAGTCTGTCAATGTAAACTACTATTACCATGTAATAAAAAGTTACATTTAGGAATTCTTTGAGTGTGGGGATGAGTATCTTTATAAATTTTGTTTAAAATAAAAATATAATATTTTACTTATGTCTTTTATGTATAAGCTGACTGTTCCTATATTATTTATGGCATCCTTTCATATAATTCTTTTCAAAATTATTATTATTATTTTTAAAGATTTTTATTGGAGAATTGGGGAATTGGGGGAAGGGGAACAGACAACTTGCTGTTGTTTTGTTCTTCAGTCTAGTTGTGGAGGACCTTGCTTCACTGGCTCAAGTTGGCACCATCATTGAGCTCTTCCCGGGCGAGGCAGATCAGTCGCTGGCTTCTGGACGGCCGCTCACTGCGGCTGCTGGC